ATGCTTATGACCACACAGCATGATTTTTCTCGTGCTTATGAGACACCTCATATAGGGATTCTCATAAGCACGCCGATATACTGTATGTACCAGCATCACGTGTAACACAGCATAATTTTTCTCGTGCTTATGAGACACCTGATATAGGGATTTTCATAAGAACGCCAATATATGTACCAACATCACGTGTAATATGCTCATGAGCATGCTTATGACAACACAGCATGATTTTTCTCGTGCTTATGAAACACCTGATATAGGGATTCTCATAAGCACGCCGATATATGTACCAACATCACGTGTAATATGCTCATGAGCATGCTTATGACCACACAGCATGACTTTTCTCGTGCTTATGAGACACCACATATAGGGATTCTCATAAGCAGGCCGATATATATACCAACATCACGTGTAATATGCTCATGAGCATGCTTATGACCACACAGCATGATTTTTCTCGTGCTTATGAGACACCTCATATAGGGATTCTCATAAGCACGCCGATATATGTACCAACATCACGTGTAATATGCTCATGAGCATGCTTATGACAACACAGCATGATTTTTCTCGTGCTTATGAGACACCTCATACAGGGATTCTCATAAGCACGCCGATATACTGTATGTACCAACATCACGTGTAACATGCTCATGAGTATGCTTATGACCACACAGCATGATTTTTCTCGTGCTTATGAGACACCTCATATAGGGATTCTCATAAGCACGCCGATATACTGTATGTACCAGCATCACGTGTAACACAGCATAATTTTTCTCGTGCTTATGAGACACCTGATATAGGGATTTTCATAAGAACGCCAATATATGTACCAACATCACGTGTAATATGCTCATGAGCATGCTTATGACAACACAGCATGATTTTTCTCGTGCTTATGAGACACCTCATATAGGGATTCTCATAAGCACGCCGATATATGTACCAACATCACGTGTAATATGCTCATGAGCATGCTTATGACAACACAGCATGATTTTTCTCGTGCTTATGAGACACCTCATACAGGGATTCTCATAAGCACGCCGATATACTGTATGTACCAACATCACGTGTAACATGCTCATGAGTATGCTTATGACCACACAGCATGATTTTTCTCGTGCTTATGAGACACCTCATATAGGGATTCTCATAAGCACGCCGATATACTGTATGTACCAGCATCACGTGTAACATGCTCATGAGTATGCTTATGACCACACAGCATGATTTTTCTCGTGCTTATGAGACACCTCATATAGGGATTCTCATAAGCACGCCGATATACTGTATGTACCAGCATCACGTGTAACATGCTCATGAGTATGCTTATGACCACACAGCATGATTTTTCTCGTGCTTATGAGACACCTCATATAGGGATTCTCATAAGCACGCCGATATACTGTATGTACCAGCATCACGTGTAACATGCTCATGAGTATGCTTATGACCACACAGCATGATTTTTCTCGTGCTTATGAGACACCTCATATAGGGATTCTCATAAGCACGCCGATATACTGTATGTACCAGCATCACGTGTAACATGCTCATGAGTATGCTTATGACCACACAGCATGATTTTTCTCGTGCTTATGAGACACCTCATATAGGGATTCTCATAAGCACGCCGATATACTGTATGTACCAGCATCACGTGTAACACAGCATAATTTTTCTCGTGCTTATGAGACACCTGATATAGGGATTTTCATAAGAACGCCAATATATGTACCAACATCACGTGTAATATGCTCATGAGCATGCTTATGACAACACAGCATGATTTTTCTCGTGCTTATGAAACACCTGATATAGGGATTCTCATAAGCACGCCGATATATGTACCAACATCACGTGTAATATGCTCATGAGCATGCTTATGACCACACAGCATGACTTTTCTCGTGCTTATGAGACACCACATATAGGGATTCTCATAAGCAGGCCGATATATATACCAACATCACGTGTAATATGCTCATGAGCATGCTTATGACCACACAGCATGATTTTTCTCGTGCTTATGAGACACCTCATATAGGGATTCTCATAAGCACGCCGATATATGTACCAACATCACGTGTAATATGCTTATGAGCATGCTTATGACAACACAGCATGATTTTTCTCGTGCTTATGAGACACCTCATACAGGGATTCTCATAAGCACGCCGATATATGTACCAACATCACGTGTAATATGCTCATGAGTATGCTTATGACCACACAGCATGATTTTTCTCGTGCTTATGAGACACCTGATATAGGGATTCTCATAAGCACGCCGATATATGTACCAACATCACGTGTAATATACTCATGAGCGTGCTTATGACCACACAGCATGATTTTTCTCGTGCTTATGAGACACCTGATATAGGGATTTTCATAAGCACGCTGATATATGTACCAACATCACGTGTAATATGCTCATGAGCATGCATATGAGATTTCACTATACTTTTAGCCACCGCGTTCTTTGGTTAGAAAGTATATCAGATTTCAGTATACTTTTTAGCGACGTGGGGTCTGTGGCTAAAAAGTATATCAAATTTCAAGATACTTTTTAGTCATGGCGTTCTGTGGCTAAAAAGTATATTTTAGTACACTTTTTAGCCACGGCGGTCTGTAGCTAAATAGTATGTCAGATTTCAGTATACTTTTTAGCCACGACGGTCTGTGGCTAAATAGTATGTCAGATTTCAGTATACTTTTTAGCCACGGCGGTCTGTGGCTAAATAGTATGTCATATTTCAGTATACTTTTTAGCCACGGCGGTCTGTGGCTAAATAGTATGTCAGATTTCAGTATACTTTTTAGCCACGGCGGTCTGTAGCTAAATAGTATGTCAGATTTCAGTATACTTTTTAGCCACGGCGGTCTGTGGCTGAATAGTATGTCATATTTCAGTATACTTTTTAGCCACGGCGGTCTGTGGCTAAATAGTATGTCAGATTTCAGTATACGTTTTAGCCACGGCGGTCTGTGGCTAAATAGTATGTCAGATTTCAGTATGCTTTTTAGCCACGGCGGTCTGTGGCTAAATAGTATGTCAGATTTCAGTATACTTTTTAGCCACGGCGGTCTGTGGCTAAATAGTATGTCAGATTTCAGTATACTTTTTAGCCACGGCGGTCTGTGGCTAAATAGTATGTCAGATTTCAGTATACATACTATTTAGCCACAGACCGCCGTGGCTATATATAAGGTATCACTGAAGTCTGGCAATATAGTATACTGAAATCTGGTATACTCTATACCTACAAGCCGTCGTGGCTATGAGGTATACTGAAATATGCAAACCGCCGTGGCTATAAGGTATCACGACATGGTCCAGGGCATGCTAGCCCGCGTGCAGGCCCAAGGGAACTGATATCATGTTTGTGTGATGTTACTCTGAGTGTATATCCACACCGGGCAGGCTTGAAAAATATGCCTGGCCACGGCGGGATTCGAACCTACGACCTTTGGAATACTAGCCCAATGCTGCCCGGTGTGGATATACACTCAGAGTAACATCACACAAACATCTTATTCACCTGAGTACATTACACCGACACAGCAGATTTCAGGAACTGATATCAGTTCCCTTGGGCCTGCACGCGGGCTAAGGGCATGCTCACCCAGAAAATTCCTTGTTTTAAGGATCAGTGCTTAATAATCAAAGAGCCTGCAGTTGATGAGTAGCGGAGTATCCCAAAAGGAATACTATTTTCTAGCGCTTAAGCAGAAAACGTGAAAAGTTTGTTATAGAAATGATCAAAATGTTTTTATTTTTTTGTATTTTCTAGTATTTTTTTCTTGTGTAAAACGATAAAAGATGTATGACCTGTATGCAATATTTAAGCAGGCTCATCCACCGTCGGCCATAGAACATTGTTTGGTGTGCAATTTTTATTCTGCCGTTGAGAACAATTTGGTTGTTGCTGGGACCTCGTTGGTGAGGGTTTATAGACTGGTCGAAGAGAAGGTATTTGTGGGAATTTACCATAACCGACTAACCAGTGTACCCATCTATATATTTCAAGTTGCGACGCAAAACTTACTTCAATTTGGCGTTTTATTTACACCCACCCACCCAACTTTGAAAATACCAAGCATGGCATCATAGTATCATACCTTAATTGTGGCATGATGTATAAAAAATATACGGTTTGGCATGGTGAAATTCGTAAATGGTGAAAACCTCACAGAATGATAAATTTGACCTACCCACCCAAAATGTCAAATTGACATTTTGTGCGGCAACTTTTTTTTATTTATTTTTGTCACACACATAAAAGATATACATTTACATAGAGATATAACAATAACAATAACTAAATGCTGTGACAGGAGAAGAAAACAGAAACGAAATTCCAATTCATATTTGAACCCTTAAAAATTAATGGCTAACGAGATAATTAACGGTGTGACCCCTTTTAGTTTATGTGTGCAGGGGAGGATGTAGACTTGCTCCAAGTCTCTCTTTCATTGTCATATAGTATCGATCCACTATAGTGTACATTACATGACATAGCATGGAGAGGCGGAGCGAGAAAGAGAGACTTGTCAACTTTGGAAAATCTCGGTTCAAAACTGAACTGAAAATGCAAGACTTGCTTTAATTGTTTTCCTTCAATTTCTTTCTGTATTATTTGCTATTATGGAGCTCATGTTATTTACACTGTGCTAGATCAATACATATAAACACTGACACAAACAATTAAAGCAAGTCTTGCATTTTCGGTTCAGTTTTGAACCGAGATTTTCCGATGTTGACAAGTCTCTTTTTCTCGCTCCTCCTCTCCGTGCTACGTCATGTAATGTACACTATAGTGGATCGATACTATGTGACAATGAAAGAGAGACTTGGAGCAAGTCTGGGGAGGATGGGAAGTAAGGTATCATATTGCTCATTATGCTGAAAAAATTAAAAAGGTGGTCGTGTAAATACAGAGTGAATTAGTTTATACTTGTAAATATTGAAACATTTTGGTTGTTTCTGCAGTTTTTATTGAGATTTTTCAGCATAATCGGCAATATGATACCTTGCTTTGGACCATCACTTCCTGTGCACATAAATGAAAAGCTGGAATTGCCAATTGTAATTTGCCAAACTCACGCTGAAGATCTTTGGCGTGTTGCACTTAAAATGTACCCTGGGGTATTAGAGGTCAGAAGACTTTGTCTAATTTTGCCAAAATTTTCACCTTGAAATTATTAGGATTTCTACAAATTATTCATTCTCATTTTCTGTGTAGAGTGAAGATGATATTCAGTTGGAAGAGCTTGAAGGGAAAGGTAGCTCAGCTAGATATTTTCAAAGTTTTTTTTTTATTCTAACTATATTTAGGCTCTATCAATTATGTGAGGCCCAGTTAAAAACAACTCCATATTAATAAGGCCTAAAAAAATACCTGTGGTTCCGGTTTCAATCGCAAAAATCGTGTGACAACAGACACCATTTTGGCAGCAACCCT